GTATTCACCACCTCTGTCATTTGTTAACACCTTGATCTTTTTGCCAAGTTGATTCTCAACCTCATTTTTGTAATGTTTAAACATTTTTAAGGTTTTATCTTTGTTTCGTGGCAAATATACATAAAAATATCTTGTGCAATCATTGATAGTAAAGAAGTGCCCTTTTTTCCACCTCTAGTTGGCACAAATATAATATACGGCATAATATCATTTTACAAAAATAACTCAACCAATATTGAATTATAGAAATAATTCAATAATCTACTTATATAGCATGCTTCGATTTCACATAATATTGAACACATGAATAATTAGCATATTATCATATAATAATGTATATAACATTATTTTATTATATCTCAATTATTAGTATACTCTCTCTTATTTATATCTTAAATAGAAGCATATAATAAAATTTACGCAAGGATTAAATTGTCTTAAGATTGTTGAGAAATATATGCTTCAAATGATATTTAAAATATAACTAACCTTATACTAATATGCCATGAGATAATTAATAATATGCCAAAATATAATTAATTAAATATTCAACTCAATATTTAATTAAACATGCAAATTAAAGCAATAAAATAATAATAATAAATGAAGAACTTGTACCGAGGCTAGTATTGGATATTATGCCCTTAAGACAATTTATGCCCCGCATGGTACTGACGGACTTTATGGCGCTTGTCTCCCAAGATACAACGGTCTACATCCACCAGTAGCAGCATTACAAACTCGTCTATACGGTGAACCTCCTCCATGTAATACTCTCCCTGACCAAAAATGCATCTATATTATATAAATGCTAAATTGGGTGCAATCCGAACCAAATGGTTCGGACCTATCTTAAAATGGCTTAACAAATTTGGATTAGGATCTAAGTGGCTTAGACCGCTTGACCTATAGTTTGAACCCACTTGGGTTGGGTTTAAGTTTAGAGAGGGAAAGAGAAAAAATGAATTGAACGAATTGCAAATGGCAGCCCAATGGGGTATTTATAGAAATAGAAGCGCCTTTTCAGATTGGGTGTGTCTCTTCATCATTTGATACAACCATTTGTATGGGTCTCTTCATCACTGGACACAACTATTTATTTGTGTCTCTTCATCACTGAGTCGTTTGGGACTACAATCGAAGTTGATGACATGCTTTGATCCATTTGCATTTTGATTTTGTCATATATGTAATTCAATATATAATTTGGAATTATGTAGAATTATGTACTCAATGATGTGTTTTATTTTCTTGTAATTGTAAGCCAATACTTTAACCTTAAGAATGTATGTTCATATTATTTCAAAACAATGCCAATGAAGCCAAGGGCCACTTTTCTTTCTATGCTTGTTTAATGTTCAATTTTTGCATCCAAATGTTTGATTTTGGTATTCAATGCATTCGGGGGCATTTACGTTTTTTTCATGCACTTTGATGTGTTTTTATATCATTCCATGCTTTATTTCACTTGGGATTGACCTTAGAGGTCTTAGGGTTCATTTTGGAGCAAAGGGAATTAAGATACAAAAATTGGATTTTTAACATTTTGGCCAAAAGCACTATTCACCAGTAGGTTCAGGATCCTACGACTGGTTGTAGCTTGTCAAGGAGGGTGCCAACACATGCCAACATGAATGCGCTGAGGGAGTCAGGATACCCTACGATCGGTCTACGTCTGGTCATAGCTCCATGCCTTAGCTAGATTTTCTACATTTGCAAGTAAACTTTATTTGTTCATAGCTCCCTCATTTCAAATCCGAATTAGATTGTTCTTGAGCCTAAGTTTATTGATTTTTCGTTGGCTATCCAATGGTATGCACCTCATTATCCAGTTTTGTCATGAAATGACCATGTTAACCTAATTTCATATTTTGTTCGTTTTGACCTTAGCTTACGCTTTTGTCTTTGAGTATAATCTTATGACTTCTTCTAAGAATCTCTTGCCATCCTAAAGGTGGTATTTACCTTTAGTGGCCTTTATTTTTATTTATTTATTTTCACTTTCGTATTTTGGACTCGATATCGGGTCAGTTTTCGGGTTACTCGTTGATGCATCAAATTATTGGATTCGGGGCGTCACACTTCTACACTTGTGCTACTATGATATTTGGAGCAGGGTTTTATCCCAAATGCATAATTTTCCAAGGATCCTCTATTAGTGTGGTGGCTTGACTCCACATCCTCTAGATTGTTCTTCGGAGGGTCCCTTTGTCCTTGGTCTATTCTCTTGGTCGTTCAGCTGGTCGAATCGCACCCTCTACCATGGCTAGATGTGGTGACTAGATTCTATAGGTTCTTCCCTCGGCAGGCCTTGCATTATATGACTTTCCGAACGCTTATCCCTTACTCAGAGTTATGTGTCCTCCTAACAGAAAAGCCTTAATATGCAGTTGTAGCTCTTGCCGAGCTATTTGCATGGCTTCATCTTGCCTCCGTGAATCTTCTTCTCCAGTTACCATCCCTGACCATAGGTGTACCATAAACTAGGTGAAAAAACTTAGTCATTTTCCATAGATGACTCCAAAGTGTAGGTGCAGAAAACTCTGTTGCCCAGGAAGTCCCCAGAAGAAGATGACAAAATAAATAAATAAATAAATAAAATAAAAAAAGGAGGAAAACCAGTCTTTTGGTAAAGGAAAGTTAAATATCTTTTATTGGGCGCCTCGGCCTTATTTATATAGGTATAACCCTAAGAGAGTCTCTTTAGGACTTCCTTGTTATACAAATCATCCTTATTGTTCTCCTTCATTTCTTATCCTTCTAAATCCTTCCCTTATTAGGACAAGGATCCGGGTTGGACCTGATGGGCCCATCTTACTGCTTTCCATAATTTCAAAGCCCACAAACTTGGGTCAGGCTCGTGCTTGTTAGGGTGACCTGTCCATCTTCACGGAGCGGGCCAATTTTGTTTTCCTCCTTCACGGGCTTTTGATTTTGACAATGTCTGTTAGTGATTGGTGCTTCTCCTATATAGGTGTCATGCTCCGGTTGGTGAGGATTTTTCCCGCCTTATTTATTGAGAAAGTTTTGATGCAATTTAATACATACCCTGTAATTTCTTCTCTCCAATTAACAATATTTTCCATGGAAATGGAGATGTAGATTGAGAATTCAATTTCATCACCATATGTGGACTGCGAAAATTAGTTAGCAATGGGTGTGATAGATAGAACATGGGTATCTGATTGGCTGGTTATCATGTCTTCGAAACACCGTACTTAATATATTCATCCCCTCAATTGCCATCTGAAATCGATGGAATATATGGATGAGCAAGAAACACAAAGATGAAAAACAAGAAATATAAATACAAAGAGGAAAAAAAAAAAATGCTATTCTCTTTTTCTTTTCTCTTCGATATTCCGCAGTTCTTAAATATATTGAAAAAATTAAAATAAAAGTTAATGACTATCCATCACAGTATCAAAGTGAAAAAATAATGGAGAGATGCAAATCTTAACCAAGTACCCCTGAACTCCAACCTTTCTTATCATACTTATTTGTCCCAGTTGTTACAAACAAATAAATGACTCCCATCATCCCTAAAATCAAATCAACTTTGAAGATACTAAAAAAATATATGAATTTAATTTAATTAATTTCATCAAAATGTTTCATTGGAATTTAATTAGCATCTATAAATCACAAAAACATGAATCAATTTCTTTTTTTTCATAATTGTGGTTGTATAAAAGAAAAGAAAATATGTACAAAAATCACAGAAGGCATACCCTTAGAATGTAAAGCACCAATGAGAGTTGAATACAAACATCCAAACTCACCAAACTAAAAGAAAATCAAAACAAGGAAAAATGGAAAAATCCATCTCCAAAACAAAGCAAAAGAACCATAGACCAACACTGACAGCTCCTTGTCACAGCCTTCAACATTCAGCAAATTAAGGAAAAAGATCAGTGTAAAATCACAGACAACTCACCAATTCAAACAACAATATCAGAGAGAAGGATACTATGAATATCCAACACCTCAAACAACACATTCTTTGCCACAATCGCTGGAGCAGTAGCATTACCATATAGTCTAGCATTTCGCTCATGCCAAATTCCCCAAAGCACGGCAGCAAATAAGGTTTTACGAAAACCCACAGTTGAAACAGTCTGGAACCTAGTAAACAGATCAACTAAAGACTCAACTTCAGCAAACTGATGCATATTCCACTTCAGAGTCTCTCCCAGCCATCGCCAAATTCTTGAGAAAACCTACATTCAATAAATATGTGATCTGTTGAGTCACTTGCATTCTGACACAATGAACATCTAGGCACCAAACAGAGCTTCCTTCTTTGGAGATTCACCATAAGAAGGAATTCTGTTTAACATCACAAAAACTGCTGTTACAGACCATCGAGGTCTAGCTTTACCCCAACAAAATTTATACCAATTGACTTCCTCTGCCTGAAATCTTCATATTTTCCAAGCTTCCTTGTATGAGAATTTACCATTGTTCCATAGAAGTTTGTCTGCAGAATTATGAATAGGCCGCAACACCAGATAATCCTTCAGCTGGTGTAACTCTTGTCCATGTAAGAGATTAAGATCCCAGCTACCATTTGCCATAAAAATATCCAAAGTAGCAGTTCTAGGAACATTTAAAGATCGAAAAATCCTATGTGTCAAACCATCACACCAAGGATCTTAAAGAGAGACTGATCTTCCATCCCCTATATAAAAACCAACATGTTGTAACATACTATCTCGTGTCTCCACAACAGATTTCCAAATGACAGAGTGAGTAATCTTAGTAATAGCAGTCCAAAAAGAGTAATAAGGAGTATATTTATTTTTAAACCATGAAACCCATAACCTATCCTTGCTTGTCAAAAAGTCCCAAGCTAGAACAACCTTAGAAGCAGACTGGATATCCACCAACTTCCTTAAACCAAGGCCACCTTCCTTAAACCAATTTCATTTAAGAAATATCTTAAAATGACTTCTGTAATGTCATGAGCATCTAAGAAATCCATCCTTGGAGACAAGATGTAGCCTTCAAACACCATGAGAAACAAAATTTCCATTTCTACTGAACAGGTAAAAAAATCTATAATGAAGTAATGTTTAACGACTAATCATACAATTCTACTTTATGTACCACACAAATAAAAAACTAGTCAAAAGAAATTTTGGCTACATATGTGGAGATAAAATCAATGAGCAAGATCCAGCCAGTACTATGAGGTGAACCAAGTACTGTGTGTTCATGCACTTTTGCTTAGACCATGAAAGAAACGGTGCTTTTTCCTTCTAGAATGCCTCTGAGAAGCCCTTGACATGACAAACGGGATAAAATGCACCTGCATAATATCACCATTTTAGTATAACAATAATTATGCAAAACTGGATACCTTGCATATGACGAAAGAATGTAATTTCATAGACTTTGTGAATCCACACAAAGAAGAACCAAATGCATTTGTAAACATTGTCAAAAACCTAGAAGGGGAAGAGAGAGAGAGAGGGTAAATAAATCTCTCTTTTTATAGATGCCTTAAATTTTTAATAGATTGCATAGTCAGATTTCCAAATAAATTAATCATTCAGCATAGTCAATCATAAAGCAACTAAAACAAAACAAACCACAGGAAAGTAAACAAGGGCCACAGATTTACTTGGAAAACCGAAAAAGGAATATAATGGGGACTCTTTCTCGTTGCCAAACAATTAACTAAAACAGATAAGTACAACCGTAGGTTCCAGATTCTTATCCTTAAAATCACTAATGTTGATTTAGCTCAATAAATGTTATGCATGACCCTTATTGTTTTCAACTTTTTAACATCATCTGACACGGTTGCCTTGCTTCAAAGGATTCCTACCTTGTAATAATATTTTTTTATTATTATTTTATTTTGATCAAAGCAATCAACTCAATTTCATTAAAAGCATCAAACAGAAATACAATCTTTGGCAGCCACAGAAAGAATATTGTCAGATAGCTCAGCAGCCTCATTTTCACTTGTAGTGGGTGAGGAGGGAGGGCAACCAAGTTGCCCATCTGCTAGCTAGACAAGTTTTTCATTGTAAAATGTCTCAAGAGATGGCTTGTCTAGCCAACGCCTCAGCTACAAGAGCAAAATCAACATAGGAGAAGAAAACAGTCTAACTTTAATGATATGTCCTTTCTGGTGGTGCACCACTAGAACACCCCCTGCTTCATGAGTATCTCCATTGAAAGCAGCATCCAAATTAATTTTAATCTGTCCCTCCTCTGGGGCTGACCAAATGTTACTAGGGGAAGACAGAGGGAGGCTATCAGAAAATGTTGGCCGGTGCAAACTTGCATAAATTCATCCCAATGAAACAATGCAGTCGAGAGTAATTCCTTCTCAGAGGACCCTTTTCCATAAAATATATATTCTTGATTATGATTTTTCCACAAGCACCAACAAATGTATGCAAGCAGGCTTTAAGCATCCTCCTTCTGATTGCACCCATCCCAATGAGAGAAAAGGGAATGGAACCAACAAATCCAGGAATGGGAGTTGGATCCGTCCATCTCCAACCAAAGTGGACTGAATTTCCAAACCTTCCGAGCGAGGGAACATTCTAAAAAGAACGCGATCGATTGTGTCAGGATTCAAACCGCATTGGCAACAAAGATAATCCTCTAATGCCCCTTTGATTTATCTGTGTAAGAACAGGGAGCTTCCCAGACTGCATCTCCAAAGAAAATGAAGAATTTTGGATTTTGCTCTGATGTGCCATAAGTTGGACCATAATGTATGGTTGATATTATGATGACTACTGGCCGCATTATCAAATGCTCTGCTATGATTCGTCCACCCAAGCTGCAAGGTTAATTGGTAGGCAGACCACATTAAACGACCCATCCTTAGAAAGGCCCCAAACAAGCTTATCCACACCCTGAAGTGACTTAAAGGCACATTACCTGAAGTGACTCAAAGGCACTTTGAGTCACTTCATGTAATGTGCTGCATTCAAAACCATCCTCTAATTAAATCATGTTACGCGTTTTAGAAAAAAAATGATATCTTAGGGTTCATTGCCAGGTGGCCCAGGTCTAATGGTTGCGGTACAATGTGTGAGAACATGAATTTGAGTTAAGGGGCCATTTTTGTCTAAATAGGCCATATGGAAGTTTCTTTATCTGTTGGGTCAATAGGACTTGGTAGGAGATATCAAAAACTTCGAGTCTGTAATTTTGTTTTTATTTTTAGATAAATTCTAGGTGTTAGTTAAAGTTAGTTGGTTACCACTCGTCCAAGGGTAGAGCTGAAATTTAAATTTACACTAAAGGGGAAAAAAGGCAAACTTCATACCCAGGGGCAAAAGGAAAAATTTAACACTTACACATGCACTCACATATTAGGATTTATACATTCATCAATTTGAGTTTCATAAATTTCATGTTTTGACGCATTAAAATCTTTGTTTGATAATGCATATAAATATGTTCGGAAATTTATAACATTAAAATCCTAACTCTAGTAGGATAGCGTAGTTCCATCGATCAAGGGTTAAAAATAGGGCTACTAGCCTTGTGTCAATCAATTGACACTTGGATCAATCAATCGAGCTTCGTGGTTTGCAGTTTCCTTTTTGAATTGAATCTAAACCCCAAGGTTTTCATGACTCTAAGCTTTGTATAAAAGCCTACATAGTTCAGAAACTTATGCTTGTTACAAATTGATCACACAGAGCATACTTGGGAATATAGAGTGATTTAGGAGTGATCTCTAGCAAATCTCTGCTAGAATTCTGTTATCTTTTATATTCATCATTCATCTAGACCAGTGGATATGCATAAAAGGTGTTTTTCATCTGTTGTTTTTGAGACTACAATGAATGCAACACCCAAACAAGCAATAATCACACAGATTGCTCAGATTAGATGATTACATTGGAGATCAAAGTACTGGTGGACAAACAAATCTTGTGCTCTTCACTTAACGGAGGGTGTTGGAAACTCGATTGGTGAGTTTGACAATCGGCCTGTGTCAATGTAACTAGGAGTTTCTAAAGTTTAGAAAATTGTTAGCCTAGTTGTAATATCTCGTTCTCGTACGGTGGATTTGAGTTTGACAATCGGTCTGTGTCAATGTAACTAGGAGTTTCTAAAGTTTAGAAAATTGTTAACCTAGTTGTAATATCTCATTCTCGTACGGTGGATTTGATCTGCCTAGACAAGGTCCCATGATTTATAAATTTGGGATTTCCATGTAAAAATTGCTGGGATTCAATTGAAACAATATGGTAACAATCAAATATAGTGAATGAATATGTCTTGTGAATTCTTATAGATAATTTTTCAGCCCTTTTAAATTCTGCTCAATTTACCAATTAATCAATTACCATTATACTTGTGAAAATAATAGTTTGCAATCCAATTCCAATTCACAAATTTAATATGCACAATAAATAAACAAAGTAAAGTGAAGAGAGAGTATGAAATACACCCAATTTTCATGGAAAACCCTCAAGAGAGAGTATAAAAACCATGGGACCTCACAAGGCTAGGAACAATCCACTATAGAGAAAGAGATTTATAACCAGGTCACAACTCCATACCCTCCAACTCCTAATTGATCTCTTTTTTTTTTTTTTGACAAGTAATAATAAATTAAAAAAAGGCGTTCAATAGGGGAACGCGTCCCATAGACATAAAAGAAACCGGGAACTAAGGCCCCAAAGAATCCAAAAAAGAAATTAAATCAACAGAAGAGGAATAGGAACTTCTGTTCACAAAATTGAAGAGAGAACGAATAATAAAAGTTTCAGTGTCGCTGTAAACGACTCCTTTCCTTCAAACATTCTACTATTTCTCTCCCTCCAAATGCACCACCAAATACAATGTGGTGCAGATCTCCAATAATCACGAACACTTCTACTCACACGACAACCTCTTCAAACATGAATCAGCTCCTTAGTAGAACGTGGCATTACCCAATACATGCCAAAAAGCCCAAGAATAAGATTCCAACAGTCGTGCACTACAGAACAATGCATTAAGAGATGATCAACTGACTCCCCATTCTGCTTACATATGCAACACCAATTAACAAAATAATTTCCCCTTTTCCTCAAATTATCGATCGTCAGAATCTTACTTCAAACGGCGATCCATACAAAAAAAGCCACCCTAGTAAGAGCCATAAAACGCCAAATAGTCTTCCATGGAAAATCAGAGGGTGCAAAATTAGACAAACATAAGAACAAAGACCTTACTTCAAAACGACCGTGAGAAGAGGGAATCCAAATCAAATTGTCATAACCTCTGCCAATTCCTTCCTGCCGATACAATTAATCCAAAAAAATGCTCACATCATCTAACTCCCAATCCTGAAAAGAACGCCGAAAAAGAACATTCCACTATTATCAATCTGATAACAGTTAGCTACGATGGCATGTCTATCAACTGCAATAATGAATAAACTTGGGAAAATACGACATAAAGGGTGATGTCCACACCAAAGATCTTCCCAAAAACGAACGCGACTACCATCACGAACTCTAAATCTAACATGAGGAGAAAAGGCATTCCATCCTTTCTGAATGGATTTCCAAGCCCCAACTCCTCCCACAATAGAAACCGGACGTGTAGTCTATCCTCCAACATCATCCCCATACCTGCAGGAAACTAATCTACGCCAAGGGCGATGTATTTCCTTCCCGTATCTCCACAACCATTTACCCAAAAGGGCTTGATTAAAAGGAATCAATCGTCTAATACCGAGACCCCCCAGTTTTATAGGCTTGCAGACTTGCTCCCATCGAACAAGGTGATACTTGAACTCTTCTCCCCTTCCTCCCCAAAGGAAATTCCGTTGAATTTGTTCAATTCTATCAGCAACGGAACATGGGATTTGGAACATAGAAAGAAAATAAGTGGGAAGGCTAGATAAAGTGCTCTTGATAAGAGTAACTTTACCCCACTTTGACAAATATTGCTTCTTCCAACCTGCCAACCTCTTTCCATACCTATCAATCACAGAATCCCAACTCCCCACTAATTTGGGAGAAACCCCTAGGGGCAAACCCAAATAAGGAATAGGAAAGGAACTCACCCTACACCCAAGAACTGTAGCAAGAGAAGAGATGTCCTGTACATTCCCAACCGAAACAAGCACACTCTTGGCCACGTTAACCTTAAGCCCGGAAACTGCCTGAAAGCAACCAGAATACATCTCAAATATCTAAGTTGAGACACTTCTGCATCACAAAAAACCAGAGTGTCATCTGCAAATAACAAATGAGAAATCTCCACCTGATTTGCAATATCTCTTCCCACCCGAAATCCTTTGATGAGACCAAGATACTCTGCCCGGCGCATAAG